GTAACCATTACTTTAAACTTACCCTAAACCTACCCGTCCTCTCTCTCTCTCTCTCTCTCTCTCTCTCTCCCACCTTGGATCCTCAGATGGAATAAGTGGAGCTTGAAAAGTCGATTCCTGTTGACTGTTTCGTATTAGTCTCGTCAGAGAGATCAGAATTACCGGAGGGAACACACAAAAATGGTAGTATTTGTCAGATAACTTTTCTGAACGGGGTGCTGTGGCACCAACCAGTGCTGCACCACTCGTCGTTTAAGCAACACGATCACAAGCATCTTCCCCTCGATAGACTACAACTCCCACAGCCTTAGTTGCCTCGGTTTCTCAACGACCGGAGAAAGAATTGGAACCGTTTGTCTGCCTTTTGGAATGTTGCCTTTTCACTTCGACTGTTGTCATCTGCGACTGGGATAACAGTGCTTGCTTCTCCAGCTACAATGCCTCCGATGGAGAATGTGCGTGCATACGTAATGTTACTATCACCAGCCCAACACACACAGTTCCGGTACAGTTGGTCATATGTTAGCTCGATAAATATTACATTATATGATATTATCAAATTAAATAAAATACCTTATAATTAATGTTAAATTATGATTATGATTATAATATGATTAATAAAAATATTTCATTATAATATGATTTTTTTTAGATATGATCTTGATGGGAGGGATTCTCTTGATCGATTAATTATTATAGATCTTCTGCTCTAGCCAATAAAAAAATAAGTGACTTGGAATAATAGGTGATAGGGGATACGTTGTCAGCTAATCACCAATCAACATGTCACCACCACATGGTGCCTATAAAGGGGGAAAAAGACGAATGTCACCTCTAGTAATTTACCCACATGGATGAAGATCTAAAACAGACAATCGCAAGCTTTATTCTTCTCATTTATTATCAGAAAGATAATCACAGTTTTCTTTCCTGTTCTTTATGACTAGAAATGCTATTGCAAACTTCATTCTTACCCTTTACAATTAGGTATAAAAGCTTGCCTAATACTGATAAAGTGAGACTACTCGTGTTTGTACTAATATACCTCAGGTTATAAGTGGGTGGAGGGGTGACATTCGTCAATGCGAGGTATATTAGTACAAACTCGAGATTGACTACTTAAGGAAGTTGAGCAATGCCTTTGCTAACTTCGCGAATCAACTGAAATAAGTCTATAGCAAATAAACGAGCTCTCGAGGATGAACTCAAAGCTCATCGAGTAAGTTGTGATAACGAATAGGTTGGCTCGAGATCTAAGAGAATAGTTGGAGGTTGAGTGACGCATGATACTAAAGTATCAGGAGAAGATGATTGTCGATTATAAGACATTTGTTGAGTGTAAAAAAGGTCTAAAGAGAATAAGAGTCATCTCGTATCAATTCTTCGAGTATAAAATCGACTTAGCTCGTTTTAAGGTAAGGTACCCCAATCTAGAATTTGAGGGGGGTCCACTCACTAGTTATCTCAAGGATCACTAGTTATTGTCCTATTTTATAAAATTTGTACACGTGTAGAATATTTTTTGAAGTTCTAAAATTTAATAAAATAAAATTAGTTTAAATATATTTATTTTATTTTATTTTATTTTAAAATTTTTATATCTTATGAATTAATAGGTAGTGAGAGAATGCTCTTGGTGACATCCAATGGTAAGTGGTATCGGGTAACGTCTACCTCTTTTATCAAGTGATGTTTTCCTCTTTCGTTGATTTACAACCGTCATAAGATGAACTATGGCATCGAGCAACGTCAGGCAATAAAGCGATGTTGAATAATGGAGTCGTATCGATCGACGTCGACCCAAATAAGATTTTGACGAATGAAATAATGAATTATGAAAATAAGAATATGATTAATAATTAAAAAATAATAATAAATAGTAATAATAACAAAAAAAATTGCTATATCAAACACACCACTGATTATGCAGGCAAGCTTTTAAAAGCAAACACAAAAAAAAAAAAAAAAAAAAAATCAATACTTGTTTGAGAGCTGAGGAAACACATAGCATAACCACAATTCAACGAGAGACAAAAACAAAAAATCATATAAATGCGATCGCGAACTCGAGCGCTCTCAGCCACTCTCCTACCGTATACATGGCTCTCGGTACGGCGGACGCTGTTCTTGCCGTCGCTCCATTGAGCTTCGTCTCATCCTTTCGCCTCGAACCCTGAACAATTGAAACAGAAATACAAATCAAACGATGATAAAGCTGCGATTCTGCTCGATCTCTCCCTCTTGCCCCAACTCCCATCTGCCGGTACGTTTTTTTTCCCATCTCTCGCCCTCTCTGACGATCCATCGCGATCTTGTTGGGATTAGGGTCAGGGGATCTTCGTGATGATTCTTCCATTTTTCTTGCTTCTGGTCCTTCCTGGATCGGTAGGGGTTTAGGGCACCGTGGTGCGGTGTACGAATCAGAGACAAAGATCTGTGGGTGCTGAGGTTAAGGTATCAACAGCAAGAAAAGGCGGTACTGTGGAAGGCTAACAGGGCCTGACTCGATTTCCTTGGCAGCAGCGGGGGTCATCTGCGATGGACGAGGTAAACAACCAGACCAATGGCATAAAGGTTGAACGACAAGCTGTCGGAGATCGACGAGGAGTTGCATAACCCACAACCGACCGTGAATAAGAGGGAGACGATCCATCGGCTCGCCGCATCCAGTTTCTCATATCTGCTCTTCACGCCCTAGGATCATCAAAGACAGGTAAAATTGTCTCTCTCTCTCTCTCTGGATATTTTCTCTGTTCACTAAAGTGAAGACGGTGCTTATGTTTCTTCCAATGGCTTCAAGAAGAATGATGGTGAATGAAGACATTAAGTGAGAATTATCGTTTCCATTAATTTTTTGTGTCAAATGACGAGGATATAAAGTGGAATAACATTTGTATATGAATAAATACTAGAAGATCATGATATGCAGCGGAATTGGAAAACCCCTTCAATGTGAAGGGTAAAAATCACATGCCAAACTAGAGATAATCCACTATGAGAATAATGAATATACAAATCTCTTGCCCTAAACCCTAGCAACAATCACAAGAGAATAACTGAGATACAAGGATCACGTCACTGCCAACAATATCTAAAACCTTCCCAAGTAATCACAGCAAGAGTCTAATATAGATTTGATCTAACCTGAGATGAGAACACTGTAGATTTGTCTTCTTCCCTTTCTTTCTCTTCCTTTTCTGCCTTGTTTTCCTCATTTTCTTCGAAATCCCGTGGCTGTTTTCTTCTCCCACGTTGTTGCCTTATTTATACCTTTTTCTACCTCCAAACGTAGCCACCACACCCCCCCTAATGTTAATTAAGATTAGATTAAGAGGGGGTGAGCTGTGGGCTGAATTTGTGGGCTGCCAGCCCAACATCAAATGTGTATAATATATATTTCCTCCTTTTCATTGGCCACTTTTTTCTTTTCGAAACTTTTGTCTTCGTCACATGACACCAAGTTGCCTGTTCATTGTTTGGATCATATCATTTACTTGATATCAAGGTTATACCCTTAGGATAGTTTGTAATGCCCGCTTCCATCCAAAGAAAGAGCAGAGACATTTGTATAATCCCAGTTGCTGATTCATCAACAAATTTGCAAAGAAGATACCTGATTCTGTTGATAATATGTATGAGGTACCTGATTTTACAGCCTAAGAAGACAGGAGCTAAGATCGTGTGAAAGATGAGAAAGCGACTGACCTGTCCTCTGCTTCTGTTGATGATGATGCTGTCAACAATGTTGTTCTTGCAAAGCCGGAAGAGTGTACCAAGAAACTATGTCTAAGATGCCGGATGAACCCATTCAGTTTGAAAGGTTAGCTCTCACTCTCACTCGAACATGTTCGAGTGTCAGGGGCCATTGTGTGCTTCTGAAAGTGTTCCACGCTCGTGAAATTAATTACTAGGCATTCTTTAAAGAAATGTATGATGGTCTTGTGATCATTTGATGCATGTTATGTTAATCATGCTTTTCAGGATTGGTAAATTCTGGTTTATATCACCCGATGAAGCTTCTTCACTGTCACAAGCACGAGGAACTAAATGCCTATAGCATCTACACCGGTCTTCACATGTTTCCGAGACCGGGGATTAGTAGGAAGGTGGTTCATATCATAATGAAGTTGCCACGATGGGGGTGCCTTTTGATAGTCGATGCTCCAGTCCAGAAGACCAAAGATTTAGTAAAACTTACCTGCGGAAGGTTAAACAATTACAAAGTTGCATAGTTTTCATGTCCTCACCGGAAATAAATAAAGCACGAGACATGCAATGGTTTTTCCTTTTAGTTGCTTATGTATTCCTGCCATTTCTCATGGAGCTAGAGTGAAGAGGCATCAAGGTGAAGTAACTTTAGAAAGCCATCGTCTTATCCTCAGAGCTGGAGAGGCATCAAGGTGAAGTAACCAATCTATGCAAGCCATTACAGAGTATATTCATATATTGTTCTCCATAACTCTTGCATGCATTTGTGCTTGTACCATATTATATCGTTTGTATACTTGCTTAACTCAATTTCTGGATACGGTGTTCTCGGCAGTTATAGTAGTTGATCTACTGATTTATTTCATTAAGATGGATAACAAGTTGCAATTATAAATCCCGTCTTATTCTCAGAGCTGCAGAGAATAAGATGTAGGTGAAGTAATCTATCTAACTGATAGCTAGCCAGTGTAGAGTAGATCCATGTTTTCTGCTCCATATTGAATATTTATGAATTACATTGTTGATCAAAGCACCTCCTTCTATTCACATGATCTGCACGTTTTCATGCTTGTTAGTATTTTTTTTATTTGCTTGTTAACTCAGTTTCTCAGATTTTGGTGTTCTCAACATCCATAGTAGCTGATTTAGCACTGGTTATATTGATTTATCTCATTTAGATGGACATGACAAGTTAGGAATTCCTTTTCTTGATTGGGCAAATAATCAGAGGAAGTTAGCTGATGTTATCGATCGTAACAGATGAGAAAGTTGAGATGTCATTGAGCGTCTCTCTTTTATACCTCAGCTTTTGCAGGCTTTTTGCAACGTGTTCTTGATTGTGCTTCTGGTAGAAATTTCCCATATTCTTTATATATGTTCATGGATGTATTCTTAGAGAGATTTTGCTGGAATCTTGTCACCAAGATTAAGGCTATCCTCCGTTATTCTGCAGTGTTAAGAGAATCGATAAATATAAAACATGCAGTGTTTAAGGACCTTTAACATGCACAAAACATAGTGTTAATAGACATTTATGAAACCATTGAGCTTGATCTAAATTTATTTCAATAGATCATAAAAGTTGAACGTCATGATGCTCTTTGGGTCTTTGATTTACATAAACATGTTCTACGGTTAAAAAGATATGTACAAATTGGAAACAAAGTTGACGTGTTATTGATTTCGTGAAGAATACTTGCAGAGGATGATGACGTGCTTGATCAGTTGGGGAAGGGGGTGAGACGTGGAGACTTACTTGTGTATACAAATATTACATGCAGGTTTTCTTTCTTTCAAGAAGCCAACAGCCAGAGATAACGTTGAGTTGAATTGAGTTTTATGGTTGGAAGGGATCGTGCCTGCCACTTCCACGGCCATCGCTGTGACCAGTTGTCAACAGCTTTATCAAAGGGAGTACATGATTTACTTACTTTACCACATAACATGTTTCCTGCAGTTGGATGGGCATCCGGCATCCTGGTGGTGGTCGAATAGTAAAGCGGTATCGCCGAGGTGGCGGTCCCCCCCCTTTTGTCAGGGGTTCAAAATCACGAGTTTGGCCATCTCGGACCTACAAAAGAGTGAGGAGGTAGGTAATCAATCCTATATGATCAACAAACCATGGAGATTTATGTGGTAAAATTCAACTAATTTGATCAAACTGCCTTTTTCCCTTTGTATTGCCCTCGAGCTAAGCTCATACATACAATTACTCATCCAGCCAAATTTAAGGTAGATAGAAGCACGTGCTAGGCAATCACAAAATGGGTATGTCGACTTCCAGATCAGTGCAGAAGAGTCCACGGAGCATGTGGAATGCGTTGATCCGGGAGCAAGGTTTCTTCTACATCCTTCCTTGGTTGAATAGGATCTTTACATGCAGTGTCATGTGGAGTGCATTTCTCGTGGTGCAAGTCTCTTACCACATTCGATCGGTTGGAAATTTGCTGTATCTTTCAAATAAGACTAAGATAATTATTAGCGGTAAAATAAAATGTTTTGAATAAAAAACAAAGAAGATTAAATTCAAAAAAAAAAAAACATGCCACGTATGTTAGCGTTTCCTCTCAAACCTTTGGACGTAAGAGGATGTTTTCCCATTCTTCCACCAAATTCATTAGTTGGGAATAACAATCAGTGTGCTGTGAGGTGTGGATGTCATCATATCATGGGGGGCATCATTAATAAGACAATGAAATGTATTTCTTTTACTAAGTCGGATGTGCCTTCCCATAAAGAACTTGATGTCCCTCTCATAAGGCTGAGGTACGATGCCAGTATGTATATATGGGTCTTAAAAAGGTATCGGTGGTCCACCCAAATAGTTAGATTGTTGCTACTAACTATCATCCCTGTATATATGGGTTTTAAAAAGGTATTCGTGGTCCACCCAAATAATTAGATTATTGCTACCAACCATCGTCCTAATCCGCGGGGCATGTCAACTACCTAAATTCCCTTTACTACCGGCAAAAAAATACAACTTTTATGTAGTAATTGTTCTACTTTTGCTACTCCCAACCCCCATGACACTTGTTTGTATCCGTGTATTAATCGGTAGGAGGTCTCTGTCTCGGGAAATGGTTAGCGTAATGACATTATGTTCTGAAATCAAAGCGAATTCGTTAATCACACTGTGAAGGCCATACTTCGATGAACAGTGATGCCGCCATCTGAAAACGATCATCACGAGTCTATGACATGCAAAAACGATCATCCAAGGGATGATCAGGACGTGGGAACTGGACCCTGTTTTCCAACAAGAGGTTAATCGGAGGATACTCTACAAGACCAATCCAAAGGTAGTTCTTCTTTTGTATCGGCTGCAGTGGGGGCCACAACTTCTCTCCCCATCCATGCACACGGAGGCGGCCTGCTGTTCAAGCTTTTTAGGTGGGGCCAAGGAGGATCGTGTCTCCGCCCACGGCATCTGATCTCTCACCCCGCGGGAGGCTGTCGTGCCGTGCCCGTTTAAATTCGGATGTTATAAATACATGTATATATCGGGAGGAATCTCCGCCATCGAAAGATCAAAATATAATAGGTTAAAAAGACTGCAAAGCTGCGACACCGGCCTTTCCTGTACCTTCCCGATCTCCATCACAACAATAATACTGTTATTATTATTATTATCACTAATAATAACATTATAGACAGAACTAAGGACAATCCAGAATTAATTAATGGTTGGTTTACTTAAAGAACCAAACGACGGCGACAAAGCCCGCATCTTTTCTTGCCTCCCTCTCTTCCGCCCTCTCGCGTCTCTCGACAAACCAACGTTTCTCTCTTTTTTCTCTCTCCACCTCCCCATGTGGCCGCCGTGGGTAAAGACCGCTCGATCCTCCGCTGCCGCCGGCGCCGTCTGCCGCTCCCCAACCTTCTCCTCTCCGACTCTCAGGGACCTCCAGGCCATCCTCCGCGACGACCACGACGCGGCCCATTCCTCATCTCCCACCCTCCGCCGCATCCTCCACCGTGCCCGCCTTGCCTCCTCCGCCCTCCGCGCCCTCCGCTCCGCCGTCTCCGATCCATACCGCCACCCCCGCCGCGGCGGCGTCGTCCTCTACTTCACCTCCCTCCGCGTCGTCCGCCGCACCTTCGAGGACTGCCGCGCCGTCCGCTCCATCCTCCGCGGCCTCCGCGTCGCCGTCGACGAGCGCGACCTCTCCATGGACTCCCGCTTCCTCGCCGAGCTCCAGGCCGCCCTGGGCCTCCAGCGGCCCACCCTCCCCCAGGTCTTCATCGCCGGCCGTTGCCTCGGCGGCGCCGACGAGATCCGCCGCCTTCACGAGTCCGGCGAGCTCAAGGCCCTCATCGAGGGGGCCGCTGCCCCCACCGTGGCATCCGCCTGCGAGGGCTGCGGCGGCGTGCGCTTCGTCCTCTGCGCCGCGTGCAGCGGCAGCCATAAGCGATACAGCGACAAGGGCGGGGGCTTCCGGACCTGCACCGAGTGCAACGAGAACGGGCTCGTCCGATGCCCCGACTGCTGCGCCGTGGCACTCTGATCGACGTCGCAGCGCAGGGCCGGGGGAGGTCGCTTCTCTCCCCTTTCTTTTTTGGAAGAAGAAGAAGAAGAAAAGGAGAAGGTTTTTCTTGTTCCCTTTCCTTGTGTTTGTTGGTAGAGTTAGCCGGAAAATGTAATTGTAAATTAGGCATATCAATTAGTGCGTTTAAGTTGTGGATTGAAACTGGGAATGGACGCCGGCGGTCAGGAAAACAGTAAATAGTAAGGAAATGGAAGAAGAAAAAAAAAAAAAGGAGTCGATGGATGATGATGACAACCCTTGACGAGAAGGGTGACATTAACAATGACGGTCGAGTTTCCTTCTTCCTTCCAAGATCTTTCTTCTTCTGCTGCTTCTTTTGCTGCCCAATCATGGCACAAGTCTAAATGCTCCCAAGTTTCATAGTTTTCGTGATGTGCATCTTTTGTTCTTGATTATTCTTTTCTCGTCAATTCGATCTAGAACGAAGATTTCTATTGGCAGCATGAGTAAAATCCATGCATCTACAATGTTTTTTGGAGGAGCAAAATAGTTGGCAAGGAAGAGGAACATGGATGGAACGTGGTTCTGACCTAATTTGTGCTCCATTGTCAACAACAATGGCAGCAGGTCTGGAGCTACGCAATTATCATCCGCTCCGCCAGACTCCACTTCCGGATTGATGGTACGCCGAGTTTGTATGTTCTCGGCAAACAAAAATTTCCTTGGAGAAGCCAAAATTTGGTGCCCTTACCCTTTTTGTGCATCTTCAATGAAGTCATTTACTATTTAAATGCAAGTCTTGTTAACTGAAACCACTTCCAGACTCACTCCCCTCGTATTTTTAGAGAGCTAATCGAATGGTTCAGCAATCACGCTTCATGACCCCAATTTATGGATCATTCAATCTTAACGAGTCTCAATGAAACGCAGATTCACTCTCTCTCTCTCTCTTGGGGGTTCCGTGAGAAAGTCTAAACCGCTGCAGTGGAGTCGCTGTCCGTCGTTATTACTGGTTGACGCCGCAAAGATGGGCCTCAACTCTCGTGGCCACATGGGTATGTCATGGTGACAATGATGAACCATGTTGGGTGGAGGCTCGTGCTTCCTATTCTTGGGAGCTTGGCCCCGTTGCTCTCTTTTTGATTTATTTGTCTCGCGGGTCGAGGCCGTCCGACGACCGGATTGGTGACGATGGAGGGGCCTCCTCATTTCATACGCTTTGCCTTGAGGACCCACTCATATTGGCATGGGAATTGTGCCGCGTTCTGGCACACTCCGCCATCTAATTTGAACCTTTTGTAACTTCTTACCCTTGTAGACCACGATAGAGGGACCGTGCTATAATTGGGGTTTTAGGCGTGTCGTATGTGTCAAAATAACAACCGTTTGAAATCAAGCGTGTAAGTTGGAACTCGCCTCTCTCTGCCTTTATGTCTGTTCACTAGAGCGACTAGTGGAGATGGTGCCCGCAGATCAAAGAGAAGACGAATAACAAGATGCATAAAATTGAATTGCTAACCGAAGCATGCAGCAGATCACAAAACCAGCGAAAATTAAAAAGGAAATACGAAACTTACTTGTGAATCCCCACGATCGTAATACTCTCGGCTTCGGTTTCATCGAACTTTTTTCTGCTTCTCGAAGCACGACGCATAGGCCGATACCATTCTTCCCCATCGCCTTAGTTTCGCCCATGAAATCCATCTAACGAGTACCGTAGAAATAAGTAGGCCATAAATCGAAGTTCTATTTTGGATTCCATCAGCATCAGCTGGATGGATCGCAAGAAGCGAAGGAAGATGAAGAAACAAAAGGACTAAAAAACTTCAAAGCATCATCTGCCGAACATTTGCTTTACCAATTCAGTACAGATCGGAATCGTCGCGGTAGCTGCAATCGGACTCAAAATACGAAGGGGAAATCGATTCCTTCATCCACCGAAACAACGCAAGAGATCGGATGGGAACAATCAGGAGCACGGAAGGCGGGGAGGGTCGCCGCCATGGTGGCTCTCGACGTCGTGGGAGAGGGGCTGCTTCTGGAAGTTGTCCGCCATAGGGAACCCTCTTTTTCTTTTCGTGGGAGAGGGGGGAGTTGGAATTTTTGGGGAGCGGAACCTCTTTATATAGCGAGTGCTTCAGGCCTTCGGGGCGGGTGATGCTCGAGTTCATATAAAGAAAGACCCAAGTGTAGGTGGGGTTGGCTTAATCTTGCATTCTACTCCGCTTTGTATGATAGATAGACACCGCAGGCTTTCGAATTGGACCAACAACTTTGCGATACAAATTTTGCTGTTTTGTAGCGGTTTAAGGCTTTATAAACTCATCAAATGACAAACGGTAGATCAGATGAGGTACACAAATGAATTGATGGTCTAATTAAAATCATGATCTATCTGATTAGTGCCACTCATACATTAAGAGTCTTATATGACGACCATAACTCATCAAATATGCCTACTCGTGATCGAAGAACACAACCTATATATGCGATCTCAACGACAGGTCTGAGGCACGCGTAACCCGAACGCCCACCATCATGTCAACACTTCCCATGTGCTTAGTCCATTTCCACCTAACCCGGCGGTGAGGAGATGATGAGGAGAGAGAGAGAGAGAGAGAGATAGGTGAGGAGATGATGAGCTCAGGTGGTACGGGCCAAAACTCCATCGCACCTCTCACCCTCGTTAAGCTGAAACCACAATCCGTATCCACCACCATCACCCGCCAGCCTGCATGGCAGCCCAGCAGGCTCAAGCCTTCCGTTGGCACTACGACGATCTCGACGACAAGAACTTCCACGTCCACGGCGGCGCCCTCCTTAACCTCATCCTCCTCATCTCCGTCTCCGTTCTCCTGTCGTCCACACTTCTGTGCCTGCTCGTGAGGTGGGCGTATCGCCACAGCCGCAGGACGGCGGAAACAGGTTCGGTGAGCATGGCGCCGGCAGCCGGCCTCGAACCGCAGATCATCGGTAGCTTCCCGGTGCACCTGCACCGAGCATCGGGGACCGGCGAGGAGGCGCAGTGCTCGATATGCCTGAGTAGCGTGCTGGAGGGGGATAAGATGAAGGTGTTGCCAAGCTGCGGCCACGGGTTCCATGTGGAGTGCATCGACGAGTGGTTACGGGCTCAGACGAGCTGCCCGCTGTGCAGGGCGTCGCTCGGTGAATCATCGCAGGCCGCGGAGCAGGAGGTTGTGGCCTGAGGGAGAGACGATGAGGGTTTTCGGCGTTGATGTTTTGCTAGAATCGAGGCTCGGGCGGTGGCTATTTCGCGCTGCCTTGCGTTTGTTCGAGACACCGAGAGCAAAGCAGTCCCATGGTTCATATTCTGGGGCCACTCATGGTTCATATGGTTGGTTTCATCTTCCATGCCATGCATGTCACGTAGAAATGAGATTATATGCGTATTCTTTTCGTCTTTTTATGTCGGATGTCGCGTAGATATGATGAGAAGATGCCAGTTTCCTTGCCGTATCGTATTTTATGTTTGCCGTACATGTCAATGGCTTCATCCGAACTTAATTACAGATATCCGATATCCAGAGATTGAGAGGAGGATTGTATAGGGGATCGGATCTTACAAACATTGTATCGGGTTATACGTGACAAAAACCTCTTCAAAACTAGTAACATAACACGATAAGAGAGTTAACAGAATGCACCAAAGAGTGAGCCCGGATAACGTTGATCAAAGGTGTAGTTGAACGAACCCCCCTCAATCGTCAAAATAAAATTTACGATTTGTAAGCACGAAACCTCGTGATCAAATCGATGCAATCCACACTAATTCCGAATGCTTCGCCCCACATATATGAGTTTGGAATATTTATAACTCTTAATATTTATTAAAATTTTCTTTCAGGCTAAAGTAAATACTAAATAGAACACGTTTAAAAAAAAAGAAACAAAGGAATATTGTCACTCTTTGATAAGGCAGATGGAATAATTAAAGAGCTTAATAAGATTTTGGATTTAAACATTCGATTGGATAGTGTATGTTGTTTGCTTCCTTCCACGCGGCTGAAGTGAATGATTAAAATGTTGATTTTTTACAAAGAGAGATAAGTTAAAAAAAGGAAGTTAATCCTGTGGCTGCTGGGATTCGAGCCCAGGTCTCCACGGCCACAACGTGGAATTCTAACCACTAAACTACAGCCACGCTTTGTTTTTGTTATTTGGTATTTTCATATTAAAATTTTTTATTTCTAATAACTACGAATGTCAATCTACCCAAGAAAACCCAAAATTAAGAATACATAGAACTTACATACTTTACGTAAACAACATATTGCGTCCAACCATTAACTAAATGGGATCAGTCAACATAACAAGAATGGCGCCATCAAAGCACACGATAATGCATGTCCTACATAGAATACTCTAATGCGATCGCATGGCTTTGCGTCTCCTGCTCACGAACACGTTGGACTGCGGCGCACCCGAAGAAGCTACCCTGCCCAACGTCTCTCTTATGGACCTGTTGAGGGAGCTCAAGCACACGCTTCTATCACCATCCTTCAAGAACAAGACGAAGACGTTCCGCGATCGTCCCCCCAAAGTCATCATGTCCGCTCTGACAGCTCGAAGCCCCAACCGGCGGAACGCATCGCTCAGTTCTTCCAACAAGTCCGGCCGATCGTCGCAGCAAACTGAAGCTTTTATGTACAGCTTATCGTCGTCGTCTCCCTCCTCCTCCTCCTCCTCAGGGAAAGCATGCTGATGCCCTGCATCGAATTCCACGTCGACTTCATTCACTTCAGCGGGGATTGCGATGGTTCCGTCGACGTCGAGCGCCCTTCTCTTCAGATCCTTCAGATGATCCACCACCCTGCCCAGCAACGACGCCTTGTCCATCTGCAGGCGGATGAGACCGGATTAGGACAAATGAGTATAGCAGACAAGAGTTTGGGGGCATTGCTGCAGCTGAAAAATGAGCCAAAAGCTTCCGAACGCTGAAGACACAACAGGACCGCTGTCCGAAGAGATAAGGAAGATGGTTGTCCATTTGTCCTGGTTTAATTACTGATCACAACCCCACGATGTGCGTTTTATAGCGGAAAAAGGCAACCAAACAAGCTTGCATATGTTAAAAATTAAGAAAGTGACAAATAGATAAGGTTGATGTACTCGACAAGCAAAAATAAACGAAGAGAACATATATTTTATCCACACAAATAAAAGAAGAAGAAGAAGAAGAAGACTGTTACCGGATGATAGTCGATGACTACCATCACTATGTCATCTTTCATCGACAAGTTTAATTTCCTGCTTTATGAATCATTTGTACCTTGCTAAAATAACATCCACACAGGTGAAGGATAAACGTACCTTGGTAGAATTGGGAATCATACGCCGTAGGGTGGAAAGATGAGCGTTAATCCTCTCCCTACGCCTCCTCTCGGCCTCGCTATGGATCCTCAAAGCCGCCGAGTCCCTGGCCTCCGACGCCGGTTTGGCCTGCCCTGGAAGCAGCCGCAGAGGGGCCATGAGAGAAGAGCAGGAGCTGCCATCTCTGCCCTCCTCAGACCAAGAGGAAGAAGCGAAGCATTCAGCCATCGGTAAGCCCCAAGTCAACAACCATCCCCACTTTCACCCAAGCGCATTGATGTAGCATTTGAGTACTCCACCTCCTCATTTACTTTTTCTCCTTTTTGTCCGAGAGCTGCACTGGTTCCGACTCGGATTGGGTTATTAAAAATCACCACCGGACTGCAAACCACCAGAGTCCTATTCTATGAATATCTCTATTCCCAAAGAGCAAAGAGCACACGAACGAAGGAAGGAAGGAGGGAAAGGACATCTCCTTTGGCATTATACGACGTGAAGAAGGGATGGTGCAAACTACAGGCATGATTGGAAAGGCATCCGTCATAGCCATTGTTTTCAGACTGTACTAAGGTTCCCCCACACACCTTACTGTGTTTCTCAGACCGTCCCTTGTTCGGGACTGCAGTAAGTATCTGTTGCTCCTGTTGTCCCGTGACGAAAGAATATGTATATATATATATATATATATATATATATATATATATATATATATGCGTGTGAGTTCCAACACAGTGGAAACAGAGACACCAAATTTAAAACCAGTAATTTTCTGTTTTTTTTCCCTAAAAAATTACTGTTGTAGTTGCGGGAACGTAATCTTCAGATCGTCTGACATGGTGGTGATACGATGAGGACCACCATCATCAGATTTGACAAGCTATCCTCGAGGTTGTCCCATAGATCATAAGGTCGGTCGGGTGATGATACTTTGAGACCTCCTCCATTTATTGCGACCCACCCAAACCCGTGGTCGGCCCCCCCCGCAGACCAAGGTCGGCGATTCCTGTGGCCGACTCCACCAAACTGACCTATGATAATTGGCTCATAAATCCAACAAGTCCAACAATCACAAGATAAAGATGGACAGAGACGCAGCCACAGAGACTTTATCCATCCATCCATCTGTTTGTGGCTATTTTTCACATTTTCTTTCCATCTCCAACACAGAGAAAATTCGGAAACGAACAATCTCGTGTATGTCGAGAATTAACTAACGCATTCGGAGGAGAGTCAGAATAGTCGATTTCCCGAGTTCTCAAAAGCAGGACAAGAACAACAAGGCAGGCCACCGAAATAAACAAATCAAATCAAATCAAATCAATCACCTTCTTAAACACACCCATGATCTTGCTATCGTTCCAACTCACGACTGGTCTTCACATGGGCGGGCAGCTAATTGTTTTACCAATCACATCGTCTCCTATCTTATCGCACACCACATGCCATCCATCTCTAGTTCCCAGCCACCAACCACCATAAGAATTCAATCATCATAGTATCACCTTAACTATGAATAATAATTTTTCAATCTGTTTCCCAGCTTACCTTTCTGACCTACCTTTGCTTCTCACTGGGAGCAAAGGTGCGTCCCATATCGGACCCACAATCACCTCGAATATAAGGCAGGTAGGTCCTACCGAAAGCCATAAACAGTCGGCAAAGGTATAACCTTAGAATGCTAGTACTTGGAAATTCTTTGATGGCTGACAATAACTAAGGTGACTCAAAAAGATGCGGAGAATCATACTACACAAATCAAGTAATAAACATAAACTAACAAAAAGAGACGCCTTGTGGTATCCCGTGAACTCGAAGAAGATGGGGCACTCGAAGAATCAATAGTTCGTGCCAGATAAGAAATTTATGCTAGCAAAGAATGAACGAGATGCTCACCTTCGACAGAGTCGAAGCGGATGATGCAGAACATCAATTCGCCATCACTGCTCCATGCCACAGGTAGTAGGACTTATCGTTGCCGGCATGCTCCTGGATCTTAATCGTTGGCACAAACTGCATGCGAAACGAAGTCGAAAAGAAAAGGGGGGAAATGAGGACAAATCGAAAGCTCAACAAAATCTAAACAAGCAAGAACAGAGCTTAAAATCAACAAAGGAATGAGCGTTGAACCAAGATGGTTGTTGGCGTGATCTTGAGGGTCTTGGACTGCCGGCCGCGTCACCCTGTGCTTCCGGGAACTTCACGCCCCCGGTCCCCCTCCCCTTCCACTGATTACCTTATTTATCAAATCGGTACATCTACGCATTTCAAGCGGAGCATCCATCATCATCATCAGCCACGATGGCAACAGAAGCAGACAAAGGAACCCACAAGAATTCGATAGGAACACCGTCATCGACGAGGATCAAGACCGACTTACAGATCAAGGAGCACGTCCTGGTCCTCCTCGCCGGTAACGACTGCAACCTCCGCTAGGGCCACATTGGGGGGGCGATCCGAGATCCGGTGTCCTCGGCCTCTTGGGGACTCCACTCAGAGATCGGGACCGGTGCTTGCCATGAGAGAGCGATCAAGAATTCTTATAAACCACCAATACATGTTTAGGCGGGAACCCACGCAATGGTGAAATGGTTGGGAGCAGGGCGAGGTATGGGGATCAAGTCGAACAAAACAACGATCATGGGAGAAACCACAACCATAACAATCCGCCAATACAATTCCAACATCATCGCTGGTGGCCTCCTACTTTAAAACTGTAGTGGTATGTGTCATTGCAGACAATCCATAATAGTCCCGCCCTAGAAATAACTTCGAAACCATCATTGTTGTCTTACAAGTTAGATAAACCACCAGCAACCGAAAACTCAAAAATCATTGTTTAGTCAACATATTTTTCGAAAACATTTTTCACTCAGTTTTAAGTGCATAACTGAAGCAATAGAGAATCTGTGTCTTCATCTTGGGCGGAGCTCGTAAGATTTTTCGATACAAAATCCAAAATCATTACTCAAAATTAGAATATTTTGCATTTTCATTTCCATAAATAAACATAAAATTCATGAAAGGATGACGCTCGGGAAGCCACTAATAAATGTAATAAAGGTGCACCAAAACTTTCTAGCTTAGTCACTAAGCCGCTGTGCTATTTGATGCACTATCCTTGGGTTCAGATTCTACTGCATCATCCTGGGCGTCTCCTTTCTTACCTGCAATAGCAAAGAAAAACAAAAGAAACAGAGATTTAAGACTATCCATTCACAGAATAAATCGCCCTAATCATATATATCAGCCAAATCACGTGTTCAAAGCATGGCCTATACACAACAAAAAAAATCATCAGAAAATTGAAATCTTTAAATCAGGTGCCAAGTCGCAAGCTTCAGATTGCTTACCACCCACCCTCGACAGCAATTCACTGAATGATTTCAAACTAGAATTTGGGAGGAAAAGACCACCGCTCAAGTTAAGAACAAATGTCTTCGTACCTTTTTTCTTCTTTCCTCCACCTTTCTTCTTTGTCTTTGTTCCCAAGGCCATCCATGCTTTAATTTCGGCATTGTCATCAATCATTTTGGAAGGCAGCAATTGTTGAAGTGGATGAGAGGTAATCCTGTCTGACCCATTAGGCATCAACAATACTGTAAATTTAATGTGCGCAACCAGGTCTCCTGTAAAGTAAGTAAAAAGGTTAACAACTTCTTTGTCGAAAGTTTCACAGCATGATACAGGAAAGAACAATGAACAAATGAGGCCAACCAAACGACATACAAATGTCTTGTAGAAAAAGAGAGAAAAAAGGAGTACCAGGCTTCTCATGCAACACAGGGTACGGCTGTAAAAGGTCATGGTTCACACATTCAACAAGTCCAAGACGAGCTCGCTTCTCTTCCAAAGCCCTGTTTAGAAGAAAAAGAAGCACACAGTTCACGCCAAAGAAAGAAAAAGGAAAGACTGCTTCAACTCTGGCAAAGAATAGAAAATGACTAACCTTGCAGAAAATGGCATGATTGGAAACTTTTGGCTTATTTCGCTGAAAATGAACCTTGAAGACTTCATTTTTAGGTGGTAATTTTTATCGACAGCTCTTTTATAGATTGTAGTTTGCTTCTCATCCAACAGTTTTGGCTGCGAGTACCATAATAAATACCGCAAATCAGTATATGAGACTAAGGTTTGTGCAAATAAAGTAGCAATTTATCAAGAGGCAGGAATTTTAGTGATGATCATCGCATGAGACATCTTTCGGATAGTCATTCTCACCTTTCCTTCACCTGTACTAGTCACAACATCAATTGCATATACTTCATTTTCTTCAAATTCGAATTCATCAACACGTGTTTCAGGGTTTGTTACACTGATTATGACTTTGTTCCCATCAATTACAAACTGCTTTAACTGATGACTAAGCACTCCTTCAACAATTTTGCAGTCATAGGCAGCAGCTACCTTCTGAATAGCTTCTGTAACATCCTTGTTCTGCCACAGCAAATAAGCATGATAAGGATCTGAAACTAGCTGACAATTCACAAGGCACATAGGAGCACCTGCTTGTAATAAGCATAATAGAGTAACATAAAAAAAAAGATTCACAATTAGATATCTAGAACCCATTCCTCATGTAGCTGAAAAGTATTTAAGGTTATACAAAGAATTTAGGGGGGGAAAAGGAAGTAACACAAATCAAAGAGTACACGTGGAGGTACATAATTATACAAATCTACACATCACAAACAATAATCAATATACTAAAAATAACATGAAAAATTCATTCATTCCAGATGCAATATATATATATATATATATATAGTCGATTATATTCTGTGAAGAAGATAGCAAAAACACCCAGAAAGGCATACCAATTGTAAAACAATTGATTAAACGACATGAGGGTGAACATTGTTTGAAATCCAGTTGACTGATTTTGTATGAATTTCTTTAGCCATTACAGAAAATGATATTTTGTTTCATAACTCATAAGTTATTAAACTCAACTGATTTCCAGGCCAGTTGAATGGCATACTCAAAACATCCATCCAAATGAAGGATAAGTTGGACATTTAGTATCAATTGTAATGTACAGATGATCATATACGTCAGAATAATACAGGAAAGTTTCAAGCTTTTACATAATCTAATCAAAACAATAAGACGACGACAACAAAGCCACAAGCCCCAACTATTTGGAGTTGGCTACATGGATCCTTTTCCACCATTGACATATTTAGTTAAACATCTTATTGTCTTAATCAAAACAATAAGATATTTAACTAAATATGTCAAAAAAATGGTTAATTACTACACTATTGGGCACCTCTCAAATAAGCCAGTGCAGATCCACAACTGCTGTGGTGGTCAGTTGACTCCTATGACAACCACTTCAGGCTGGATTTATGTTCCGCTGTCAAACAAACTGAGTTCAAAAAAGGTTCTCCCCCCACCCATCCAAAAACAACTAGTCCTCCCTCTCCTTCGTTGAGGGTTGTCTTGAGAGAAGAGGAAATAGGATGAGTGCAACAAGTGGAGCGCAAGAAAAGGTAAAGAGATCCTACTTTTCTCAGTTATTTTACTTCTTTGCTAGATTCCAGCGATCTTGTAATTTATTTATTTTTGAACGATCATAATCTCAGGTTTCCTTAAGGGCTAATGATGATCTCAATCTAATTTTTAAATTCCAGAAGACTGGCCTTCAAATAAACTTTTCCATAGCATCAAATCACTAAGATATACTAAAACAAATCAACTGTACCATTTGTACAGTAAGATATTTATCGGTCCATGAACAATGACAGCTAGAATAGGTCGAGTGAAATAGAATGCTTAAGCAATATAAAGCTATCAGGATTATGATGTCGAGCATTTGGAAGATCTCAGACACACAATCTGCAACAAAATCCAAACTGAATTTACAAAACAGCCATATTGCCAATATAACATTTAATCCACTAGCTGCACAGTCCACACAACTAATCACAACTGATCTTCTAGAAATTCGCAATGCTTGCATCTGGTATAGGCAAGGACTTCAAGGTATTCAAATGAATCTAAACAAAATAGATCTGACCCAAGGTCCATCTACAAAGATATACACTTTTTTGTTTTCTGCTTATATCGGTCGCTATTCACCAGCTCTTAAAATATATGGTCTTTAACAGGCACTTAAAAAGAACAAGAAGAACAACAGCATAGACTTCCATCCATTACCTGGTTCAAACACACTGCATGTGTGTCAATGTAGACACAAGTGATACCTTATGTTTAACGGTCATTTCCTCTGTAAACTAAAAGAATAATAAAATAGTTTTATCGGAAACAAGGAACCTAAAAATAAAATTCTAACCAACTTCCTCCAGGAACCACAAGAAACCAAGAACATTCTGGCAATGACATAATATAGAAAAACAAGTAATAGAAGGTTGCACTATAAAAAATCCAACATAGGCCAACCACCAATTATTGACATTCACCCTATCTAGCATCATCCCCCGAGCAATGAAACAAAGGTCACTTCGTTGGCATGTAGTTTAAAAAAAAAAATAACATAACCAGAATACACTCTATTGATAAGTCGAACATTTTCAAAGCTACCAGTGACCATGAAAAACGATTTCAGCTTTATTCTGCATTTAGAAAACTCCAAAGTCCAGATACCTTTTTTCCGGGCCTCACAAGCCTTAAGGCAACTTCTGCTGCGGTATTAGCAGCAGCAATCACATCTGCGGCTCTACCAGTCACAGGCCCCTCCTGGATAACGTGAGTGTGCCCCACCACTGCAATAAACCCATCGATGTGGCATCCCATGTCACTGAAAGATAGAGAACCACGGAACAGGTATAAACATGGCCGCTGCCTCAAACAAGCCAATATGCAGAGAGCAAGCTAACAATCTAGACGAGCCAACACATACATTTTCACGATGTCATTCTCTTCCAGAACAGCGTCGTCGCTGGCGAGTGGTGAGAAATGACACACGGTATTATTGACAGAAATGCATGTGGGAAAAGCTACACCCCTCTCGATCTTTCTTTTTACATTCTTGTATATGTTCCCAGCTTGCCTGTTGCAACCAATGCAAACTTCAACTTGCGCACTAGTGTATAAATCAAAAGTAGAGAAAGTTGACATTCTATATGAAAGGAAACATAAAAACGAACAAGAAAACGTACTCCCTGATAAAAGCGTCGCCTTGCTCGCAAAGATCAACAATCTTGGCTTTGGGCTTGCACTTGGATGTCACCAACTGAAGCGCCTCTGCACGGTGCAAAAATTAAAAGTTGTTTCGTGTAAAATTTCACATCGGAGGATATCATAAATAAGGTCGGAAACACTACTGTTGACGATCTCAGCGGCGCTCTTGTACTTGGTGACGACATCGGGGGAGGTGAGATCCAACTCCTTCTCCTCTCTCGCTTCATCATCCGACATCTCTCTAAACCCTACACCCTAAAAACACCAAACGAAAGAAATCACAGAAAGTAAAAGGAAAAAAGGATAGCATTAAATCAGAAGAATCATCAGAGCACCCAAAATAGATTGGTACCAGGGAGAAATCAGATGGAGAGCACAGCAATCGGTGCGCCGATTTAGGAATTAGGCCTTCGGGCAGGCGGCGTAATGGATCGGTTGTGGGCTAGGGCAATCCTTTCTACTTATATCGAGCACGAGGACGTGTAGAAAGCACGAGACACACACGTGCTCGAGGGTTTTCGGCATTGATCCTTTTTCACGTAAGCCCCTGCATTTGTTTGAATCGGTCCTCGATCCCCAGTTCTTATAACGAATCGAATCTATACCCAAAGCATCCGACCCATTTGCGATGGATGGATTGAGAATTTCAAATCTTATGCTGTAAATTTTGAACCTACTAATTAAGTTATTTGTTAAAGACTTCACCCCATCATCGTAGAGTTCTGCGATTAAATTGTGTAAATTTATAATGATATATAAAATATATATATATATATATAATATAAAATAAATAAAATTAATTAATAAGACATTTAATCACCAACCGTACAAACATCATCTTAGCTCTTCGTTGGTTCATCACGTACTCGCAGTAGCGGATCACCATGTCATCGAGTCGAGTACGCCTCCGACTATTGCCATCAGAATCGGTACAGCGTGTTACACGATGAATGTGACATGATATGCTAATCCTATGATGCATTTGCTGCAGCCATGATTGGTTCTTTTGTCGAACGAACACATGTTGGTTCCTATTTCTTTCACTTCGATTCGTACTCATATTTGTTTAATCTAACGAGCTTCTTCTACATGTCATGTTTTTCTGTGAGCTGTAAACCCAAGCGGGCAGGCAGACAGGACGGAGGAGACGACCGGAGAAGAGTGAAAGGAACAACCAAATAACAGAGACTCTTTGATGACTTCTCTCACAGGTCATTTCAATCGATGTAAAACGGTACGTGTTTTATTCGCTCATATATTCTATTACCAATCTACAGAGATGAAAAAGAATTAAAAGAAACACAGCTTGGATTACCAAGGAATAGAAGAAACATTTCTCTCGCTTGAAACTGATGCAAGAACATGTCAAACGACGTCATCTGCTTTTGCACCACGCTCATGCTTCTCTTCTCCGTTGATGTAAATCATGACGTGTATAAGCTTCTCTTTCGTTTTTTTCCTTAACTTTAAGATATACATTTTAGTATAGAGATAGATTATCGTCCGAAAATAACACTAGACATCTTTATCATCTATGTATCTCGAACGAATTATAAATGATGAGCTAGAGATCGTCTAAAAGTAAACCATCACATTTACGTTCGGATATGATATGATGTCAGGTAAGTTTATGTTCTCTCATTATTTTGAACTAATGATAGTAAAAGATTAACTTGAGAACAAAGAGCTAAGTTAGTAACTCAGAATATAAAAATATTTTCAGGAAAGAAATTAAAATTGATAAACACTAAGATTAAAAGGAAAAAAAACATAAATATTATTTTCTTACAAGAGATTACATAGATAGGAAAAAAAAATACAGAGATATTGGTAGGACTAGATTTAAAATTTAGTACATTAAAAAAGTTGAACATAAAATTGGTGTAGAAATTATTGTTGATAAGGATCTTAAGAATAATATTGTAGATCTAAAAATTTTTGAAGATAGAACTATAGTTCTAAAATTTACAAGTTGAATTAAATGATCAAACCAAATTTTTTTTTGACAAAGCTTAGATGATATAAAAGGAAAACGAATATAAAAGAATGCATGGGGTTTTTTGGTTATGAGGAGAAAATTGAAGATGATTGTCTGATTTTAGATTTTTTTATTTTATATAATCTTATAATTATAAATACTCACTTTAAGAATAAAGTTGAATATTTAAAAATGAGATAAAAAGTGAGACGACTTAGAACTTAGATGAGAATAATATTAATATTATTTGAACAATGTTCGCAAATAAAATTAAGTTTAACAAAGAAATTTTTTGTTGAAATTAAAAATGGAAGCTTAACCTTAAAAAAATAATTTTTACTAAGGATCACGTTTTAAAGATTGAAAAATTATAAAAATAAGGAAAAAATAAAAAGATATAAAGAATATTAAAAAAAAGTCTAAATAAGGTTAGTATGATAAGATATAAAGCTTATGTTAAATTTTATATAAATTATGTACTAAAAATGTTGAAAAAAATATATATTATATTGCCAACTAGGGAAACAAATGTAAGGATTTAGGTAATATTAGATGCATTAAAGATGAAGATAAAAAAAAATACTTTCTAATGATAATGAGATTAATAAAAGATTAAAAATATATTTATAAATCATTTAATAAATATTTTACGCATGAATTATACTTAACGATAAATAATAGTGATAGATTTAATAATCATATATTTGTTCATAAAATTAGAGTTAATGAAGTAAAATATGTATTAAAAACGATAAAAATAACTACAAGTGTGGGGCTTGAAGGTATTCTTATTGAGGTATAAAAGGATAAGAAAACAGCCCAGTTAACTAGCTTATTTAATAAATCATAAGACTCTAAAAGATACATGATGAATGAAAAAAGAATTTTTTAGTACCAATTTATAAAAATAAGGGTGATATAAAAAATTATTCAATTTATAGAGGAATTAAAATCATAAGTCATATTAGTGAAAAAAAAATTATCGAAAATAGGATAAACCTTGAAATAAATATCTCTGAAAATCAATTTAATTTTGTGATTGATAAGTCAACCATATAAATTTTTTTATTTATTAATATAATTAATGAAAAATGTAAATAGTGAAAAATAATTGATTTACATATGATTTTTATTGATTTAAAGAAAATTGATTTCTAGAGATTTATTATAGTGAGTTTTAGATAAAAAATATATGTATTCATTAATTATATTGATGCTACTAAAAACATATACGAGAATGTAGTCATTAGTGTTAAAACTACACATAGTGTGTTTAGTGAGTTTCTTTTTAACATAAGATTAGATCTATATTAAGTTTTTATTTTTTTATATTGATAATGGATGAACTTACTGAATCACTTATATAAATAACTTATAGATGTATGTTATTTATTAGTGATATTATCGTAATTGATAAAAATGTTGTATCGATAAGAAACAACATATACAAAAAGTTTATATTGTTGAGATACAAAATATTGATATAGATATATAAAATTATAAGAAAAAGATAGAAAAAATATTTATATTCGTAAATAACTAGGTATCACTTTGATATATAATAAGACCTCTAGATGCGCATAAGAAAAGGTGAAATAGTTAATGTTACTTGTACAATTGAAAAACAGAGAAAGACAAAAAATAAATAAAGATTTAAATATTCTAAACTTAACTAAACATATAACTTTTTATAGATCTCAATAACGATAAAAAAAATCATGTAACCGATTCCTTATGATTTTATTATTATTGTTGTTGTTATTATTTAAGATGTGTATTGTACAATCCCCTATATCAGTATTTACATGTAAAATTATGGGTTGAGAGATGGTTGTACTATAAATGTACAGACACGATTGTAGTGATCGAATGAAGAGTAAAGTTTTCTATACCTAATCGACTGTTTCTATGTGCGGCTTATATCACGACCAAATACAAAGGTAGTAGGTAAGCCAGTCGATAGCAACATAGAATCTATTTCTCCAACTAATCACCCGAGTTAGTTATGCAGATCGCCAAATGAGTCAGCTGACAAAACCTGCACGAGAAATCCCCCGTGCATCCTCCAAAAGCTTACAAAATAAGCTTTACTTTGACAGTAAAACTTCAACATGATGATGATGATGATGATCTTACTTTTGTTTTGCCGAAGGTCTACGAGAGCTTTGTATCTTCCAACCGTAGCCATGCTTCCAAGATGCCTATATACAAAAGGGTCACCGACACTTTTGATTTCAGGAGTCACTTCCAGTAAAACAAGTTCAGGACTAATAGAATAAAACAGATTTTGACACAGGACAAGCTGTATCAAGATTCAGCTCTGTATAAGGTGTTGCAACCAAGAGGATAGCTGTTCATGAAGCAGAATAACAACAATAAATGAAGTATTTTGTTTACTCTTCTTCTCCATCGATTCCACCATTCGTCTTGCTTTGATTCTATTCTCTGTTTCCTTTTCATGTAAAACTCTATTCACTCCCATCTTTACAAACTGAACCCAATACTCTACTAAAAAAAAACAATACAATACAAAGAAAAAAAAGGAAGATAATACCTGCCACCAGGTGATTTTGGAAGTTGTAAAGATCTAACGATCGGTGAGGGACCAACACCCGTAGACCACACAAGAAGTCCGTATGGGACCTCTGATCCATCATCATCGAGAATTATCTTTTCAGGTTCAACATCCTTTACAATCTCAAAGGGGAGAGGTGATATTGGAATCCAAACTCAAGATTCTTTAAGCTAGATCACTCGTAATTAGTCAACAGTATGAGAATAAGCATCACTTGTGTGTCTGAACCCTCATATTTATACGATGTTTTTACAAAAGTGAAAGATCCATGCAGCTTTAAACAAAACCATAATACGATGGGAGGACTTTAGGAGCCACAACCGTTGGAAAGTACATAATCGAGTTAATCATTCGACAAGAAACATAAAGATACAGAAGATAACATTCAAGTGAAACCTCATATTCATTCGGGGAGATGCAGACGACGTCGTAGAGGCGGGTGTCGATGCCCTTCATCAGCCGGCACCCGGCCCATCCCGTCCCAAGCACCACCACCCGCGGCTTCTGGGCCCCGGGCGCCGGAGAAGGTGGAGAGGAGTCGAATCGAGGGAGGGAACGAAGCCAGGCCATTCCTCGCGAGAGAGGGAGAGAGATGGAGAGAGAGAGAGTGGGAGAAATCTAACGGTCCAATGGTCGGAAGAAGGATTGCGGTTGGGGAAGCGAGGGCGGCGGTGTGACAGGTGGCGGGAACACTTGGCCTTTAAATCGAGGAGAGGAACTCTCACCATTGGATGATGGATGGACGATCAAGATGCAACATGGTTCCACCGAACCTGCGGGGCCGATAGAGGTCGGGTGACCGCCCCTCTCGACGGTTCTCCTACTTTTATTATGTGCTCGTATACATAATAATACATGTTAAAATTAAACATAATTTTATTGTTTTTTAATGGTGACCGAAAGACATATATTATATTATATGAAAATTAATATGTGTTTATTATAAATTCAGATTTGGTAAAGTTTTAGAGATTTAAAGCCAATCTTGATTGTGTAAATTAATATTTGGAATATTTTGTAGGAGTGTGCGTCCTCCGGAATCGCTAACTTAGGTGGATTCAGATCTCGCTCGCGACCGATGACACATCTTGCATCCTGCGGCATGCACTTTAGAATCTTGTACGGCGGCCGATCCTACATGCTCCCCGGCACTAGCGAGCAGACCACCTCATCGTCAAGCCGAGATTAGGTTTAGGACTTCCTCCTCAGCCCCACCCGCCGACGAAACCACATGGTGATCAGGAGGAGGTAGCATAGCAGCACCTCGATGTCTCTCTCCACCATAATTGAAGGAAAGGAGGAGTTCTTTATATCTTTTTGCCCTTGCTTTTACCAGTGGATCACGGACTCGCCACGAGCAGGTCTCCCCCACCCACCTCCCTCCCTGCGCAAACGAAGCTCGAGAATATTGGATGAGACAAGGTACAAAATGTCTGTCGATCGAGCCAACGAGCCTGCTTGTGCAGCGCGCACATCCCGCTCCCAACCTTGGTGTCCTGTCATGCCAAATCCACATCGCCTCCACTCGTTGGTCACTTTCCAAGATTGCGTGATCCAAGAAACTCAACTGCTTTCCCAGTAGCGGTCGATAGAACATGAGTGAGAGCGCCTGTTGTCGCCCACTCGACTATAATTGTTCTAGTCGTGCGGTACACCTCACAAAGAGTAAGCTTTCCTACACCTTTTTACGTGCTCAAATTATATACGGGAAAAATAAAAAAAAAAGTTAATGATCGTGCAACCGTCGGTAAAAGCACGAGTAGACGGACTGGATAGACGACGAAGCACGAGAACAGGAGGATCCTGCCACCCTTGTCTCGCTGTGGACATAAAGCTCGCGAGGATCAGATCTATTTACGTGCCCAAATCACGCATGGAATGGGCTTTACTTTGGATTCTCTGCCAATGGTCGTCCATCATGATGGTTCTTGTGTGGTACCGGGGATACAATTTTATAGATCTACTTCAGAATCCAGATCTGCATCTTTCGTCCGAGGCCAGTGGGTCATTCATTACTATACCAACGCCTGCTGCTGCTGGGTCACATGACACTCCTCGATTACTGCACTGCACTTCATACGCCAATATCTCCATTTAATTACTCGGTGCCTCTTAACTTGAATAGACGCCTCAAGCGGGCAGCGACAAGGCTCGTCACGCGGTTTTCATCTCACGACACACCAGTGAATGGACCCCCAACCTTGAGCAGTTGCGGGACTGGTGGAGGCCCACCTGCCCACCGCTACGGTGAGGATGGGTCAGTTGGGTGCAATCGGAAATACCGAGCTTGACTCGACCAATACCCAAATCTATCAATATATATATATATATATACACCTATCTAAGAGAGAGAAGCTACGCACATGCCCGTCGCCGTGAGCCGAGGATTGAGTGAAGTCGGGCACGAACATTTCTGTACCCGACTTTTATTTACATTTATACCGCAAGAAAAAATCTTTCAAAGAGTGCTATTGTTAACCATGTATATAATTAGGAGATATTTAGGAATTTATCACATGTGATTCTAGTGAGGAGTAATCGGCCAAAAGCAAAGTCGCTGCTTCCAACGGAGAGAGAGAGAGAGAGAGAGAGAGAGAGAGAGCGCGTCAATAAATACGCAGGCAAATCACCCCCTTCCTCCCCACGCCACAGACCAGCAACAAACCATGAGGCTGTTGTATTCATTTCCTCGTCCCAGGATCTCCCTCCGCTACATCTGGCCCTGGTCTTGGGCTGTGACTGCTCCCAAGAAGATGGTAGCCATGGCGAAGAAAGAAGCGGAACTGGTGAACGGCGGGGAGCCGCAAGGGAAGTTCGAGTCCGCGAACCGCCCGCCGTTCAAGATCGGCGACGTCCGGGCGGCCATACCGAGCCATTGCTGGGTGAAGGACAAATGGCGGTCCATGAGCTACGTCCTTCGCGACGTCGTCGTCATCGCCGCGCTTGCGCTCGCCGCCGGCCATCTTAACAGTTGGATCTTCTGGCATGTCTATTGGCTCGCCCAAGGCACCATGTTTTGGGCCATTTTTGTCCTAGGACATGACTGGTACTCCATCATCTCACTGTCTTCTACGCTCGCATTGCTGTAGCTTAGACTTTAGAAAGATGTAATGATGTTTTTCGCTGTGAGCTGATCAACGAATGTGCGATAGAGTTCGGAACAGAGGAACTAACAGGACTTGTGTTGGCAGTGGGCACGGGAGCTTCTCCGACAGTGTGCGGCTGAACAATGTGGTGGGGCACTTGCTTCACTCCGCCATTCTGGTGCCATACCATGGATGGTGAGTCTTGCTTCCACCTCATCTCCAGCTCCCTAACCAGGAGCCCATGGTCGGAGTTCGCAGATATGTATACACATTATTATTATTATTATTGCTATTCTCATCCGTTGGGGTTTGGAGCAGGAGGATTAGCCACAGAACTCATCACCAGAACCATGGGAACGTTGACAAGGATGAATCATGGCACCCGGTCAGTAATAATTGTCTCTTTCTTTGCTTCTAAACATTGCAAATGCAAACGTCTTGCTGGTTTATCCTTTCTAGTTCTTGTAGAAGCTGGTTCAGAATATTTCGGTCGTATGGCATTCGATTCTGAGTCCTTTCTAGTTTATGTACAGCTTGAAAGTTGTTCAGCTCGGTGAGCCTATTTAGGAAAACGTGGTAATGCATTTCCTATGTAGAGTTGATAATCGGAATCGAACACTGGGATCTCCAGTTCAGTTCAATTTAGAACAAGATTAGAAGTTCCTTGAGAGGAGGGTAGCTCTGGTTGCCGGAGGACAACTCCCAACATTCTGTAGCCAACTAGTAGTGGACGAGTTCCAGGCTGTTAGTTTCAGGAACGGTGAGCCCACTACAAGTTTTGATTAGCGTGTCAGTGAAGATGGTCGGACCCCATTTTATGTCTAGGGCGACGGTCGACCACAAGATTGTTGGAAATCCAGCAATGGAATTATTTTTTTGCTGGAATGGGGCCTGACACCTACAGCCCTAAGAGAGGGGTTGGATTCTGCCTCAAGAAGAAGAAAAAGGCACCCGTGGCTCGACCTGTCTCGGTCTTTTTTCTTTGATCGAGTCTCTTTTTCGAGCAACTTGCAAACAGCCCACACTAAAGCTGTTCTCCGCTCCTTCCTGTGCACTGTTCTCTCTCTCTCTCTCCTCTGCACCGTCTCAACTTTTCTGCTGGATATGACCTTGAGACATGGGAACTTGTGACAATTATGCCACAGTATGTAAATGACCGATCATCCATCGCTCTTCCTATGGGAGCGTGCGAACTTGGCGCTGCTCTCACATGTTTCTTCAGTCCACAGTGCTAATTATATATTGTTCAGTCACTAGTCGACAGGAGATACAGTAACATCTCCCAGGACTTCTTGACTGTGAATATTCTTTGATTAAAAGGAATAAAAAAAATACCCCGGGAATTATTACATTTTCTCGATGAACAACCCAATCCATCATCAAGGATTCATGTTTAAGGGACTTGATGGATTCATGTTTAAGGGACAGGGTGATGCAGATCGTAGAGTTGTCCAATCCATGCTCCTGTCACTGACAACGAACGAGCCCCACAGGTGTGGATGGTGTTGTCATTGATTGAAGGTGAATGATTGATATTTGTGGCAGACTATTGTCAGAGATGCGTGATCTTTCCTCAGATCTTTGGATCACAGCATATCCTGACATTTATGGCATGTTAAACCCGATAGGATCCATGCTAGCTCTCCAGAGTTTGATGCTCGAGTCTGGCTATGGAGTTTGCAAGAATTCACCTGCAATACTTGAGATTCTCGCTCCACTCTTTTTGCCCTCCCAAGTAATCTTTCTCATCATAGATTGGGGCCTTCGATGAAATTATTAGTCGATCTGCTTTGCCAAATGGAATTGACTTGTGCTTTGTTTCAGTTAACCGAGAAGACATACAGGGGAATGGCTTCGTCCAGCCGAACGTTGCGTTTCAGGTTACCTTTCCCCTTGTTTGCCTTCCCTGCCTACCTGGTGAGTCCACCGAGTCTAACCCAAGATGACAGGCCTTGCCAATTCTTTGAACTTAAATCTCTTCTTCGTGGCTGTGATCCGACAGTGGTGGAGAAGCCCCGGGAAGGAAGGCTCTCACTTCCTGCCCAACAGCAAACTGTTTCATCCGGAGGAGAAACAAGATGTGATGGTATCGACCATCTGCTGGTCAGCCATGGTGGCATCGCTTCTCATTTTGTCCTGGGCGTACGGCCCTGTTGCGGTGCTCAAATTCTACGGCGTACCACACTTGGTGAGTAATAGTATATATCCATGAGAAGTTGACGATTAACTTACAAAAAGCATGGCCTGCGATTGCATCTGATGCAGTAATCTCCAACTTCCTTGGATCAGGTCTTCATCATGTGGTTAGATCTGGTTACTTACCTGCACCACCATGGCCACCGCGAAAGGCTCCCCTGGTACCGTGGCAAGGTAAGACGATGCTCCCCTCCCTCATCATAAAACTCAAGGACAGTCCAGTTGGTTCTTTCGTCTTTTTTTGTGAGCTGCTCTATAGGTTATATATGCACACGACAACATCTTATAATGGTGATGGGCCGGCCAGTTATCAATATAGGTTATTGCATACAGACATACATGTTTTATGTAGTGAATTCAGCATCTTATGATGGTGGTGGGGCACTCATCAATTGATTGACAAATCAAGTTATGATGTGGAATTCTCCACAGAAGTGCCGAGCAAGTCAACCAAATTCAAAGCAACGAGTAACGTCCCAGGTTTAAAGCAACTAGCTAGCTAGTACCACCTCACCAGGGCCCATTACCCAACACACACAGGTCGAGAGAGAGAGAGAGAGAGAGAGAGAGGCATTACTCGTCAAAGCAACTGTTCTTGTTGAAGGTTGAGGCTCGAACATCAAAATCTGACGCGAACAAGGCCTGCTTCTCACATGCATGCCTGCTTTCCAAGACAGTTAATTCAGGCAGGGTTGTGAATCCTCCGAATTGACGTTCGCGGAGACGATTTAGTCATGGTGTTTATGCTGCTCGGCAATCGACTTAAGTAGAGACTTACTTGTCCTTTAGCTCGCATCATGACCTTTCACCTTCTTCCTTCCATCTCGTAGGAATGGAACTATCTGCGAGGAGGGCTGACGACAATGGACAGAGACTACGGGTGGATAAACAACATCCACCATGACATCGGAACTCATGTCGTGCACCACCTCTTCCCCCAGATACCGCACTACAACCTAGTAGAAGCAGTAAGCATACAGTCACGCTCCTAATCCATTTCCCTCTCTCCTCGATCCATGACGATGTAATCTGTGCACTAACATGTTCTTCCACTCTTCTGTTCCAGACAAAGGCTGCTAAGCCTGTACTCGGCAAGTATTACCGAGAACCAGAGAAATCTGGGCCTCTTCCACTCCACCTCTTTGGCGCTCTGCTCAGGAGTCTAAGAGTCGATCACTTTGTCAGCGACGAGGGAGATGTTGTCTACTACCAGACCGACCCTCAGCTGTCCGCTGGCTGGCAGCAAAAATCCCATTGAAGCAAGCCAGCCTCCGATGTTACTGTTCGTGTCTTGATGCCTTACACAGTAAAACTAGAGTAGTCGATTACTGTAATGGGCTTGGGCGATCCGGAGAGAGAGAGAGAGAGAGCAACGATGGTGGTGAACTCGATTAATTTTCTCTTCTTTACTTCAAAGAAAAAGAAGCTGTGGCGCGAATATATTATCTAGTCTCATCAACTGCTGAACAATGGTGCTGCAACAACAGCATCTTCATTTTGTCTTGAAAACTATTTTCTTTGGAATAAACAGTCGATTCCCTTCGATGTCTGGTTCCTTTCATTCTTCTTCAACTGTTTGAAGGAAAGAGTTGCCGAAGAAGATGATCACTGCCCTACTGGCAATATACTGACTGCTAAATGTATGACTTCATAATACTTTGGTTCAGAGAAGAGTTCGAGTTCTTCCGGTACACTTGCTTTGTGGAAGGCGAAGACGGAGGCGAGCGCACGCAAGAAGCAACAACCAAGAGGAGCTGCTTACACGAATACAAAGCCACCACACACCAAACACTTTTCCTTGTTTTCGTTGGTTCGCATCCGGCAGGTAGAGACTGACCCCCGCAAAAGAAGCCTTCGCTCCTCCCCAGTCTTTTTACACTGCTTTCGTCTTCTTACCTTCCTTTGGAGCGAGTCAAAAAATATCGATGCAACTCCACTTGCCATCATCATGATGGGGGGTTCTTTTGAACGTTGGGGGAGACACCCAACGGTCCTCTCTCTCGATCGACTTCCCTGCCCTTCCCACTGCTCCCTTCCCATTTACCGACAAAGTTCTCGGCTTGCCCCAATCTAAAGCTTGCCCGAGACAAAAAAGAAAAGCCCAAATTTATGTGAAACCCTAGCGATCTCGCCGGTGTTCGATCGCGTTCTGGGAGCAAAGAGGCCGGATCGGAGCCCCGAATGGGCAACTGCTGTCGTTCGCCGGCGGCCGTGGCCCGGAAGGATGTCAAGACCCACTTCCCCGGAGCCCGCCACGACCATGGCGGCCCCGGCGCCCGTGGCAAGAACCACGACCACGACGACGACCACCACCAGCAACAGAACGGTGGCGGCGGCGGCCACTCCAAGCGGATGACGGTGCTGAGCAGCGATGCCAAGTCGGAGGGTGCGGTCGAGGAGAGGTACGTGCTTGACCGGGAGCTCGGCCGCGGGGAGTTCGGCGTCACCTACCTCTGCATGGATCGCGACACCAGGGAGCTCTTCGCTTGCAAGTCGATCTCGAAGCGGAAGCTGCGGACGGCGGTGGACGTGGAGGACGTGCGGCGGGAGGTGGCCATAATGCGGCACCTGCCGAGGAGCCCCAGCATCGTGAGCCTGCGGGAGGCGTGCGAGGACGACGGCGCCGTTCACTTGGTGATGGAGCTGTGCGAGGGCGGGGAGCTTTTCGATCGCATCGTGGCGAGGGGGCACTACTCGGAGCGCGCGGCGGCCGTCGTCATGAAGACGATCGTCGAGGTCGTGCAGCTGTGCCATCGGCATGGCGTCATCCACCGTGACCTCAAGCCGGAGAACTTTTTGTTCGCTAACAAGAAGGAGAACTCGCCATTGAAGGCAATCGACTTCGGGCTGTCTATATTCTTTAAGCCTGGTGAGTCTACACCTCCACCAGATCTGTATGCGCTGCTTCTGGTTGATTGTGGTGCTACAGTAGCTCGATTGTGCCATTCTTTCAGACGTCCTGCTGCTAAATTTCTGAGTTTGTTTAGAGATGGAATGCCATCCTAATTGGCGCTTTAACTTCTTAGTATATCCTGGTCTTCACATGCTTCTGTGGAAGAAATATCTGTAGTTATGTTGAATTTGGCAAGTTCAAGGTTGCCAGTATATCTCGTTGATGCTATTACATGTCCTATGCCATGGCAATGGTGAACCTATGCCTAATAGGTTAACAACAGAAAAGAAGTTCAAACTACAATACAGAATAAAGCTCTTCCAAAACTTCACTTTCAACCTAGCAATTCTTTGTTGATTACTCTTGTAAGGGTTGTTCCTTGTGTCACTGCTACCATAACTTGTGTCTTTTCCTTGTGTCACTCTGACATTCTAGTTTATGTGTTGTATTCTTTGATCTTGCAGATTATCACCGTCATGGTTGCACTTGTTCTGCAGCCAATAAGTCCTAGTTCTAAGATAAATATATCCTGAAAATCTTACCTTTGTTATCACATTCTCTGTCGCCATGCTTTTCAACATAGCAATTCTGGCTTTTGTCCTTCAACTTATTTCTCTAGATAGCCTAGTTTATGGCTATGTGATCTATGATTTTAGGATGGATGCATCCAACCGTTCAATGATAATTTCAGTTTGATATCTCATAAGAGGAATTTGACTTCGGGTTCCCCAGAGGCTGGACTTTGTTGATTGGCACTTGAAGAATCTAATATCTTGGATGCTTAAATAGTTCAAATAAGACTGTTGTGTATATGTGAAGAATTGTGTAAAGGATGCTGTTGGACTGTAGGGGATGTCTGACTGTGAAGAGGACAAGGGTTGGACAACAGAGAAACGTTCAGTAGGGACCAAACATATATTCGAGTCAAAAGATTGGAAGAAAATCAGATCTCCATTTTAATTTGCTCTATTGTCCTGGATGATCTTTTCTTAACATACGAAATTACTGTGAGGTGTGCCCGATGCCTCTATGTATGAGTGCTCCTTTCATCATGCAAATGCATACATTCTTTTCATTTTAAATCCGTGCAATAAGTAATCTGCATTCTTTTTCTCTGTTACAGGTGAAAGGTTTTCTGAGATTGTTGGAAGCCCGTACTACATGGCTCCTGAAGTTCTAAAGCGGAATTATGGACCAGAGATTGACATATGGAGTGCGGGAGTTATTCTCTACATCCTCCTATGTGGAGTTCCCCCATTTTGGGCTGGTAAGATTCCTACTAATGAGTCCACCATGTATTGTTGAATATACCTATATTTCAGATACTTCATTCTGCTACATCTGCAAATATATAATCTACTGCCTTTTAAATACATTTGTTTATCTCTTGTTAATTCTGCAAGTAAATTTTCTGTCTGATAAGAAATATAATATATGTCTAAACTGCAGAAACCGAACAGGGAGTTGCACAGGCCATTCTTCGTGGGATTATAGATTTCAAGCGTGAACCATGGCCTAGTGTCTCAGAAAATGCTAAAAATTTGGTTCGGCAGATGTTGGAACCTGACCTCAAGCTTCGGTTAACGGCAAAGCAAGTGCTTGGTATGGTACATTGCATGTTCATGTCAGTTGCTATTCAAATCATTGGCCCAGTTTGTACATGATTTTGTTAAATTATGCTTGGGCAAATATCAAGATAATTCATCAGATTCTTCTGATTTATTTTGGTGTCATTTGCTTATTTGTGGTTCCATCCAATTTCATTGCCAATTCGTTCATCTCATGACAACTTAGATTTGTTGGCTTTGAGTTTCTTAAATGACTGACCTGACTTGAGGAACTAAGATTTTCATTCATTTTTCAGTTAGATGTAAGAATGTGAAGAAGAAACAAAATAGACTGACTCACTCTGCAAGGACAACACACTTCTTGCATAGGAATGATGAATGTCCTGACATGCAGTAAATGATGCCTGCATCTGAGTTTATTGGAAAGGCTATATATTAGAAAGTGAAATGCCATTTGAACTGAAGTCGCTCCTGTCTCAGTTGAGACTCTAAAGTGGACACCGCTCTGCATTGACTTGATACATCTCCGTGTCAAACATCTGGCACATATTTTCTTTGCCATTCATCAACTCATGGTTCTCTAGTCATATGGTAACTGTGCCAAAGTTAAAGGATTCAATTTAGCATAGCAAGAACCAAGCACAACTCGCTTATGACAACTACAAATTGTCCTGTGTTGTCAACTGAACATTGCATAATAGTGTTCACAAACTTGATATTAGCTATGCTCCATCACCTAACCTGCTCTCTGTTTCTCATTGTCATTGACGAGCAGAATTTGCAAATTGAAAGAAACCATTGTTTTATAAGCTGTTGGGTTGGAGAAGTTATACACGGTGAGAGAGCATATTTGGACAGCTCCACAAATTCTTGCACATATACTAATATTCTAGGACCCCTTAGGTCTGTTGCCCTCTACAATTAGGTTTTAAGACTCATTATTGCCACCTCTTACTCTTTCCCTCCCGATAAATGAGTCCTAAAGTTCGGAAGCTGGATCCAAAGGAAGGATCTAATTAATAGTTCTTTAGTAGTTTATCATGACTGAATATCCATGTTTAGTGTGTTTTCCAAAGGTGGGAGAATTATTAGACTTACAAAGGATTAGCACTCCTTTGCTTTTCCCCTTAGATGAATGCAATCTTGTTTTTTTGCCTAGATAATCATCTTGGCATATTTATCTGTTTGTCCCAGGTGTAAGTCCGGTACAAGTGCTAAACTGGGTGGTACAAGGCCCATACCAAGCATGGTATCAGGCTTAAACCCTCATGTTTACCCGTGTATCGATAGGTCATCCGACCGGTAGATACCGCCTGTACCAAATCATATCGGGCAGTACTGAAAACACTAGATGAAAATGCTATGGAAAATTTGGGATCATGTGTTAACTATAATTGTCTTTTTTTCTATCTTGATGTCCTACTCTTGTCTACTAATTTCAAGTGCAATCTTCTTTTTTGGACATATATGTTGAACTGATGCTTATGTACACATATTCTTGCAGAACATCCTTGGCTTCAAAATGCTAAAAAAGCTCCGAATGTACCACTTGGTGATGTTGTCAAGTCAAGGCTGAAGCAGTTTTCGAGGATGAATAGATTTAAAAGGAAAGCATTGAGGGTTCGTTGCACCACATTGTCTGGCTTAAATATATAAGATTTTCTCACATTTGTGTATATCTTAATTTTGGTTATTTTGAATAGGTTATCGCTGATCACTTGTCTAATGAAGAAGTTGAAGACATAAAAGAGATGTTTAGGATGATGGACACTGACAACGATGGCATTGTTTCGCATGATGAACTCAAATCTGGACTTGCTAAGTTTGGTTCACACCTTATGGAGTCTGAAGTGCAGATGCTCATTGAAGCTGTAAGTATATTTTATTATTTTACATGTGTGCATGAAGTTCAGCCGCATATTTTTAAGCCCAAAATTTTCAGCCTCATATTTGTGGAATGGCATCAAAAGTAAAAAGGTTAATCTATTTCAGTGCTTTTCTTTGATGTCTGGTCTGCCTTACACTCTCCAAAGTTTTTAGTGATGATCGGCATTGACCTTTTTGAAAAATCAGTTCCAAGTTAGTTTCACGGAACATATGGACTGGATCTCATCAGAGAGAATTATACTGCAAAATCTGAACTTTCAAATTTGCCAAACAGGTTGATACCAATGGAAAAGGGACCCTAGATTACGGAGAGTTTGTAGCTGTATCTCTTCATCTACAAAGAATGGCAAATGATGAGCATATCAGGAGGGCCTTCTCCTTTTTTGACAAAGACGGGAATGGCTTTATTGAACCAGAGGAACTGCGTGTGGCACTAGCAGAAGATGGATCTCCTGATAGCATGGATGTTGCAAACGACATTTTACAAGAAGTTGATACTGACAAGGTAGCTATCTCTTCCATCCGTGGACGCCTCATCTTCAGCCTCTCCATTTCCTAACAAGCTAGGTTTTATTGTTTATTATTTTTATTTTTTTGTATTTACAGGATGGGCGAATCAGCTACGATGAATTTGTGGCAATGATGAAGACTGGGACAGATTGGAGAAAGGCTTCACGGCACTACTCAAGAGGAAGATTTAACAGTCTCAGCATCAGACTAATGAAGGATGGGTCCTTAAACTTGGGCAATGAATGAACAGATTGAACCCCTGCTTGTCTGTTGTTGAGAATCGGTCCACTCCTACCCCCAAAATGATTTTTGTATTTTGATTATTTTGGTTAGCGGACTTCCATGTGCAGTGGTGTGCTTGTAGGCGTGCTTGTTGCCATGTGAAATCGAGGCTGTCTGGTATAATGTGTTGTGTTTGCTGCAAGTGTTGTACCATATGGGGCTTGTTTGGGTAATATGACCATGGTTCAGAAGAGGACATCCTACCAGCTGAGCCTCGGAAATTTACGGAGATATATGCTGTTCTAGGCAATATTACTTTTCATTCTAAAGCACCAAACCTGATACTCGGTACACCACATTGATGCGTATGGATCGTCGATGATCGTCCATCGACGGACATGTAAAAAATTATAATTTGAATGGTTGGTGAAGCCAGTATCTTGTGTATTTTATTTATGTATTGTGAAGCAGACTGGTTTGCTTGTGTTGCATCCTGAGGATATTTCGTTTAGTTAAAGATCAGCAGTTGCATCTTTAACAAATATGCTTCGGTTGTCAATAAGATAAGGGTGTCTGTGTGGAATGACTTTTTATGGTCGTACATGTTTTGAGCTTTTGTATTGCGACTTGTCACGACAAGCTTTTGCAGAACATAAATGGATTACGACAAGCATACTGATAAGCTTTTTTCCGAGGTTGGATTAACAAAAACCCGCAGAGCAACAATAATTGCCATCTTTTTCTTTGTGCGAGGCTCCAACACGCAGATCCACACTGGTTTTTCCTTGACTTTTGCTCCTCACTTTGCTGCCTCACCACATTCATGGTACTATTTGTACTTTCTGGAGATCTAATACCAACGTTCGATCGACATCGCATTTACACTCGAGGAGCCAGAAATCGACTTTACTGGCTAATTAATGATTGCATCTCCAGTGTTCTTACGGTGGTGGTGGTCGAGAGCATTGATGGTGCTGTCCTTTGTGATCACACATGCATCCCAAAGAAGGGGCACTCTCCCATGCCGCGATCTGAGCCATGATCCATGGGCTTCGCCGAAGAGAGCAATGGCCTCGAAAGAGAGGGCGAAGACTTCCCTTAGTGGCAGTGGTAGCCCAGGACAACGATACGGCGTAGGCAAAATTGACTTAGCCGCAAATGCGATTCAATTCAGCGGCAACGTCGAAAGTTTGCCGAAGCTTTAAGGTTCAAGAACTGGAATGGGTCACATGGAGTTTTTGAAGTGCCACTTTCACGAGTTCAAATGACGTACTGACCGACTCTCTCGCCATGGTGCCATGTTCTTGTGTCAGCTGTGAGCACCGATGGGCACGCCGATTGAGATGGACCGCGTACTCTCTGCGACGTCCTGTCGATCCTGTGAGCTACGGATCACAACGTGCAGATCGTAGTAGTAACATGCGTGAGTGTGTCCTGCTTTGCAGATGCAAAAACTACGCTGCATTTGTTACGGTTACATTATATGTATCGGTAGTGAACGGTAAAACAACTGGCGTTCGTATGTGAAGTTCTTCTAGAATTCCCCACTGCTATCTTTGTGGCAAAGAGATGATAAGCTCCGACACATGGCCTTTCGTTTCCCTCTCATCCCTTTCGACCCTAATTAGTAGCGCACTGTGTGGAAGTGACAGCAGGAAGAAGCTACCGAGGGGCTCGATACATATCCACTCACGACATCATATTCACGTCGCCACTCGCTTGGGAAGAAGAAGAACAGGAGAAAGGTGTGAGGAAGTGACGGGAAGAGTGAGTTCTCACACCAATGCTCTGGCCATGGCTGTCGGCCACTGCCACTGGCGCCGCGCGCGGCCGCATTCGCAATGACACGCATCAAGAACACGTTGCTTTGCACAGAAAGATAACCGGGCAAGTTGATGCCTATCTCAGGAAGCGAAGCTTTGACCGTACTCTCCCTTGGTGTCGTAGATGCAATGAATCTGCTACTTTCACGTGCTGGAGAAGATGAATGACTGTAATATTATATTAGACAACGAGGGAAGAATCAACTAAGATTAATTTTCGGTGACAATTAGCGAGATTAATCATTTTTGTGGCTTGAATTAGATTTGCGTGTTTTTGTTTATGTCCAACGAAGACGAATGACTCGGTGGTGGATGATGTGTTTGTGTGTGTGTGTGTGTGTGTGTGTGTGTCAACCCAATCGAAGGACGATGAATGAAAGTGTTTCATTGTGCATTATGATTTGCGAAATTGTTGATACGCTCAAAGCAAAACACCAATCGGCTCTAATCTCCCCGACCTCAACTGGATTATCTCTCCTTCATTTATGAATCGCAACAACGCTTTTATGCATGCAATTTTAAACACATTTGATTCTGCGTCTCTTTCGCAGCATTACAAGCCAAACGTTACACCGTCGCCATCACCACTAATCCCTCTCTTTCACGGCATTTCTACTCTCCCTTCGGTTCACCCTCTCCATCCTCGTCTATATATACGCACCCCCAGATGACGCTTATGGTTGTGGCCAAACAAACAAGTTCGCCTACTGTGATACCGTTGTTGTTGGGGTTGTCATCGTCTCTGCTTCTGGAGCTTGGAGTTGCAGTAAGCTCATGGACTGCCTTCAGGAATGGCCAGAACCGGTTGTTCATGTCCAGGCCTTGTCGGACAGCGCTCTGACGACGATTCCAGACCTGTACATTAAGCCGCCGTCCGAGCGCCCGTCGTCGGACAAAGGCGTCGCCACGCCCCACATCCCGGTGATCGACCTGGGAGGGCTGGCGGAGGGCGCGGCTGAATGCCGCGCCACCATCTGCGCCGTGGCGGACGCGTGCCGCTCCTGGGGATTCTTCCAGGTGGTGAACCACGGGGTGAGCCCGGACCTGGTCAGGAAGGTCCGGGAGGTATGGCGAGGCTTCTTCCGCCTCCCCATGGCGGAGAAGCAAGCGTACGCCAACAACCCCAGGACTTACGAAGGCTACGGCAGCCGCGTCGGCGTCGAAAAAGGTGCCATCTTGGATTGGGGTGACTACTTCTACCTCCACCTCCTCCCCGAGTCCATTAAGAACCAAGACAAATGGCCTGCCCTGCCGTCTTCTTGCAGGTGCATATCAAGCGCAATAACTCATATGACAGGACAGTAAGAACGGAATAAGCCCAATTATATGGACCTATATTTACAATGGACGTGCATGATTGTGATGGAACAGGCAGACGGTGCAGGAGTACGGAGACGAGATGGTGAAGCTGTGTGGGACGCTGATGAAGGTGCTATCCATAAGCCTGGGCTTGGACGTGGATCAACTGCAGGCCGCCTTCGGAGGCGACGACGTAGGCGCCTGCCTCCGCGTGAACTACTATCCGAGGTGCCCGCAGCCGGAGCTCACCCTCGGCCTCTCCCCGCACTCCGACCCGGGCGGCCTCACCGCCCTCCTGGCTGACGACTGCGTCAAGGGCCTCCAAGTTCGGAGAGGCGACGATTGGGTGACCGTCCAGCCCGTCGCCGGCGCTTTCATCGTCAACATCGGCGACCAGATTCAGGTGCTCTCGCTCTCTCTCTCTCTCTCGGCGATTCCTCGAGGTCAAAGTTTTAGCTGTTTTGTTCCCGCGGATCTTTTCGTCGTCCAGGGAAACTGGAGTCGCATGCAAGCATATCTCAACCATGTCCTGTGAGACGACGCTTGTCTGCAAAGTTGTCTTCCCTCCGAAACCTTCCTCGGTCACTCTGACAACCTTCCTCTTGCGGTGTTTGTTGTCAGCTTTACTTTATGATTCCGTTGACCCATCTCACCACCCAGCTTGTGTCTTCTGCCACTTGTTCCAATCATACGTGGGTAAATATATATATGTATATATATATCTTATATTTCTTGTGTTAATGCTACAGATTTTGAGTAACGCAAAGTATAAGAGCGTGGAACATCGAGTGACAGTGAATGCAGCGCAGGAGAGACTGTCGCTCGCCTTCTTCTACAATCCGCGGAGCGACTGGCCGATCGCGCCGGTCGGCCAGCTCGTGACGCCGCAGAGGCCGCCGCTCTACCAGGCGACGACCTTCGACGAGTACCGCATGCACGTCAGGAAGAATGGGCCGACGGGGAAGACGCAGGTGGAATCATTGAAGGCCATATGATCCATCCGAGCGTCAGCTAATCAAAGCGTGACCTAACGAACCATCTTTAGCTAATACTCATGTTCGCACATCATGCCATTTATCAAGCTTGTTTGTGTTATAATCTTTAGCTAATACTGATGATAAGCTGTGGATTAAGAGCGTTGTTCCACATGAAGCTTTCCATGACACATTGAAGCAGTCATTGTTCCGAGGGAAGCAGACATTTTTCAATCAAAAGATATAAAGGAAGCAGACGATTTACTATCTGCATAAATAAATTGTCCTTGCTCATAGATTTATTGGACATCTACTGTTGCAATATTGATTGTTCCACTGCTTCTACCTATTGACATGATAATTGCTGAAACAAGAACATCAAATGTTCTTAACAGATTAAAGAAGCATTCACCAAGTCTAAAACAAGTGCCTTCATGGATTTATATAGACAGCTGGAAAAAGCTGCCTTGTTCAGAGAACATGTATGCTTCATACTTGGATGCAAGAACAAAAAGGAGTCCTGGTTTTCACACATACCCTATGATCATACTCAACATGCCGCTGCTGTGTCTCTGATCATTGTGATCATGTTCTAAGATGAACGAGACACGATCAGGGAGGCAACAAACTCCGTATATAGGATACATAATGACTCACTTCCATTTTAGGATCCCCATTAATGTCTTGAGCTGGAATGATGCCACGGCCTCCACAGCTCGAGAGCTGCAACCCTCAGCACCCTTCTCATCTGCTTCGACCAGACCAATATATGCGCTCTCTGCTGTTCATGGGAAGTTGGAAGATGAAGTAGGGCTAAGCTGACTATGCTGTTGTTAGGAAGCTCAGTGACATAACGACGTCAGTCATTAACGGGCGAACCGAGGCCTCTTCTTGGAGGCACATTGCAGCAACGGCAATTGCTTGGCTCAAGCCTTTTGCTGGATAATCCCCCCGTAAAAGTGGATCGACTAGCTCAGGGAACCTCTTCTGATCTCTGAACATCGGCATTGCCTGTCAAGAAGACAAGTTGGTTTATGTAAAAAAGATGGATAATCTAAACAATGAACATGATAGGAAGTAATGATATATGTGATACTTGATGATTCCAAAGATTTCCATGCGTATCAGCTACAACAAGTTTCATCAAGAAAAGACAAGACTTGATAATTTCATACCCAAGTGACGAGATTCTGATCGTCTGTTGGCCTTGACGTGTCGATGACCCTCCTTCCTGTGATCAACTCAAGCATAACAACTCCGAAGCTGTATATGTCCGACTTCAAGGTCAGATGACCTGTTCTTGCATACTCGGGTGCACAGTAGCCATATGTACCCATCACCCTGGAAGAAACATGGACATTATCCCCCATAGGACCTAGCTTTGCAAGTCCGAAATCCGAGAGCTTTGCATTGAAATCTTTGTCAAGTAGAATATTAGATGACTTAAGATCACGGTAGATCACAGGCGGGTTGGCCTTCTCATGCAAATACTCTAGACCTTGAGCAGCACCATAAGCTATCTTCATCCTAGTATACCAGCTGAGGGATTTCTGATCAGGTGAGATGTCTGGAATCAGAAAAATATTCTCATTATTCCCCAAGTAATCAAGATTTATTTTTTCAAATTCAAACAGTTGTTACTTTTTTTCCCACATGTCCTTGTAAAAAGAACACGCAAAAGCAGAGTGTTAGCAGCTGTAAAAAGAACAAGCAAGGTTGAAAAACTCTAGAATAAATCTTCCTAAAAGCTCAATTCATGAAAAGAAAAATCAAATACATGAAATATGTGATTAGGTCCAACATGCCACAACTATATGCATGCATGGATGGAAGATGTAAACCAAGCTACTCAAATGACAGTACCAAGCAAATGGTCTTCTAAGGAGCCCATAGGCATATACTCGTAGACCAAAAGTCTTTGATCACCATCAGCACAGTATCCGATAAGCTTGACTAGATTTTGATGATGGAGCAGACTGAGCATCAAAACTTCAACAAGAAATTCTTTGTTGCCTTGGAAGCCATTCCTGTCGAGCTGTTTAACAGCTACAATCTAACTTCCAAAAGAATTAGAATCTTATGAGAAAAAGTCATATAACTCGATAAGAGTTATCTTAAAAAGGCCAAGAAAAAGTTCATACACTGAAAGATAGACTTCATTACCTGTCCGGATTTCTCAACACGACCCTTGTAAACTCTACCAAACCCTCCTTCACCCAGAAGGCATTCAGGTCGAAAATTCTTTGTAGCCAAAGCAAGCTCACGGAATGTGAATGTTTGTGCTGCAATATTTCCATTTCCAGCATCATTTTGGGTTGTTTCAGTGGAGGCTTCCTGAGTTGGATACTCTGCATGGTTAAATGATCCAAGTAAAGCTATAAGAGAGTAATGGCAGGAGAAGTAGTATCTGACTGACTGATGTTGTGTTCTTGGCTGCATAACCCCCTAAAGTGTGTGTTCACTAATAATGTCATGCTAGGCAAGCGATTTTGACATACAATTCACTCGGATAGGCAGATTGTCCCCAAGTACTACAGAGATTACAGAACAAATGTCTCTCAAGAGGAAAAGAAAGTTTTGCTTTCCTACATCCAATAACATTCGATGGATTTAAATTTTGATTTGGTTTTATTAGTGGAAGGTTAATAAAGGTAAGAACTAGGCTAATAACCTTCAACCGACAGGCTGACTCGAAGTGACTCTGACCGACCTAACTTTGCATTTTCTGATCCAGCATTAACAAGCAATTGCTTGTCATCACCAGAGTCATCTGTTAAGGCAAAGCTTTGGAGCCTTCCCAAAAGCTCATTGGCATCTATATGCATCTAGCAGCACTAGTAAGGAGGATATCAATGTTCTGATATCAGACAGCTTTTCATCATATTGTGATGAAAATATGGTTATGTTCTCAGTTAATCATGTCAATATTATACCATTCTGGAACTATTTGACCAAAAACACATTAAAAGAAGATTGACAAAGCTTTTCTTTTTTTTTTTCTTCTTCTCTTTTTGCACAATCATTTGGTAGAATCAAGAATCACGTTAACATGCATCAATAGCGGTATGCTCTTAAACAAGGACAAAGCTCACCAGGCATTTTGGTTAGCTCATTATCCTTGGCGACACCTGCGACCAGACTACTTTCCTCTCTCGAGGAGTGCCTCCTCGAGAAACATGGAAAACAACTCATTTCGCAGAACACCACTCTCGATTCTCCTCCACCGCAGCAAATCCCCGAGCAAAGTTTAAGACAACACCATCAACGAATCGGTGACATTCTCCGAAAAGGCATGTGTAATTATCCAATTGGCGACATATATCGAAGACTTTCCAGCACCCGAGCCCTGAAATCTTCCAACAGATTCAATCCAACTCCAATGCGGAACAGAAAGCTCTGTACAAACTTCGGATCATCAAAACGTCGAGGTTTGATCGGATGGGCCCCCGGAAAGACTCGAAAGACCTTCCGGGAGAGATCGAAATCCCGGCAAGGGACGCGGGTCGGCACGAAGAGGATATCTTTTGCCGGGACACAAAAGCAAAGGAAGGAAGGAAGGAAGGAGAAACAAAGGCACCTTTTTCGGGCAACGAGCACGGGTGGCTCCGCCGGGAGCGGCGGGTGGGTGAGGACACATTTGACCGCGCTGAGGACCAAACATGGAACCCAATTCGCGGGAGAGAGAAGAGATCCGACTGATGCCGTTAGCCATAATATGTTTTAATACGGAAAAAAAGAAAAGGAAGAGGGAACAAGTCAAGACAACAGCCGTAGATCTCGATATCCAAACCTCGAGATTCGTGCGACGCCAATGCTCATCGTCGATGTGATTGTTGTGGAATACGTGGGGTGAGGTCACAATAGATTCGAGGATGGTCCTATAAAATTGTATTAGGAGTACGTTCGATCGATAAATATCCATCCCATGTTTAAGTACAAATTATTTGACTTCAAAAAACACATGATGTGGGAGTTGTTAACTCGCGAGACGATTTATTATACGAAAGTATTAATCTCGAACAACAACGAAGACATACTTGGGAATCACGAAAGGTCGGTGGAACAATTCACGTATGAGGCCAATTGCCTTCGTAATAATTAATTGTCTTATCGTTATGATTATTAAACGTCTTAATTGATGGATGCGTTAAACTAACAAAATATATGATAGATAGGACGTGATGTATCCAAGCATTGCTTATCCGTGTCAACTATCGATGATAATTCTGGCATGGGATGTCGATGTACTACGCCGTATCAGCCGACGAGGCGAGACACGTCAGCACACAACCCGTCCTCGGCCTGCTCGGCTCCGTCGTCAGCTTTCGCAGGCGTTATCCACACACCGCATTCCCACCAAAGAGAGACCGGAATGCAGACCCACGCAAGCCCCCAACCCAACATGAATGGATAAAATCACGTTAACACCGGTGGGCCCCGCCATGGTCGTCGTGCGCGGTGGATTTAACGAGCAGTGGAATATTGCTCCATTCTCTTGATCTCCGTCGATCGACTCGCCTCGCCTCGCCTCGCCTTGTCCTCAGCGTCCCTCTGCCATTTCCGACCTCGTCTCAGCTGTTGTTCCTGGAGCGGAGGCCCTAGCTTGGCTTCGATCCCTGTTTCGGAGATTGATGCCACTTGGAGAAGCATCGGGCCTTAGCGGGTCGCGAGGATCGCCTTGGCAGCGGCGGCGGAAACCCTAGCATCGGATCACCCACGAGGCTCTCTCTGCATGGTCTCCGGCCAGGATCCGGTGGAGGCTATCCTCCATGCCTTCAGGGATGCCCTCTCCCCGCTGGAGTCTGGGTTCCTTCGCGCCGCCAAGGATCTGGAGTCCCATTGGCTGAACTCGACGGACAGATCCAATAATGTGGAGTCTCCGAAGAGATGCCATGGATCGATGAAGAGGAAGTCGGGCCATGATGAGGTGGCTACGGTTGTGACTTCCGAGGAGCGGAAAAGAAGCCCAATTCAGGGCCTTCTCGGTGCTTTGTTTCCAAACGCTTCCCGCGTGGGCAGCGTCCGTGGCCGGGGAGGGAATTCATCCAAGACAGGTAGAGACGAAGAGGAAAAGAATGGATCTTGTGTGGATTGCTCGCCCTTTGCGGTCACTTGGTCGATCATGCTCAACAGCTTCGTGCAGGCATTTCCAAGGCCACTTAAATCATTTAGGAAGTGCTTTGGGGACC